GGGGGGGGTCTGAAAATCGGTAATCAGTAAACATTTTGGCATTTTAACAGTAACAATAAGTAACATTTTGGTATTTTAACTGTGAATCTTTGAAAAGTGTTCTGAAATGATAAACAGTATTTTTTTCCTCACGATTCACACCAAATTTTTAGTGTTTTCACAACTGACAGTAACCGAAATTTAGTGAATCACGACTCACAATATACCCCATCAACATCCTCGTTAAACACGAAGGCTATAGCTATATATATAGTTAAACATGTGGGCTATATACCCAAGAAATAAACACGAGGCTAGCTTAATTTGTGTTTATTCATCCGGGTCTGCTGAGGAGAGTGTTCTGGCACAATGCATGACTAAAGATAATTTTCAAATGCATTTAGCCAGCTGAATAATAATAAGTCTTTCAGCTATCATGGGCCTTGACACATACTGTGGCTAAAGCCAAATGATTTACTGAGAGAACGTCTATAGGTGATCTATAGGAAATGTTCCAATAATTGAACTACAAGTAAACTAAGTATTATAGTTTAATGATTGGAAAGTTTACTTATAGTTCAATGGTTCCAATTCCCTATAGAAGCCTTTAGGCACCTATAGAATTCTATATGTGTATAGGCATTCTTATAGGTCACCTATAGAAAATGTTCCAATTGCCTATACAAACCTGTAGGATTCCTATAGGAACCTATATAGGCTATAGGCCTATAGACTTTTTTCTAAGGGAAAGTATATATAGTAGCATTATTGCATGGGTTAACCACGTCCCTAGTTAGGCACTAGGGTGAGTACACTGTGATCAATGAAAGTTTCAATGAGCAGCTGTCATTGTGGGTTCAGCCCCCCCCCCCCTGGACACATTTTATCCTCCTTATGAAACATATAACAGACTTACCAAGACAAGTATGTAATCAGTACGACACCATGCAACAAAAGCAAGATTGCAGCAGCTCTTGTGGTGTCATGCTCACCATGCTTGCCTTTGAAGCTGGGAGACCCAGATTCAATCCTTGATTGGACCTCTACTCAAGGTCTTAAAATAATTGAGGAGAAAGAGCTACCTTTACATTGACATCAGTAAATGGTTAGACTTTCGCGTCTTCTCGGATAAGGACGTTAAAATCGTAGTTACCTCGGATTGGACAATACTCAATACTCAATAGCCTGTTGGGAAATCCGTTCATCAGCAAGTGAGAAACCTCGATAAACTCAAATGA